GCCTGGGTGGCTCAGTCGGTTAAGCATCTGCCTTCGGCTCAGGTCATGATCCCAGGGTCCTGGGATTGAGTCCCACATCGGGCTCCCTGCTCAGCGGGAAGCCTGCTTCTCCTGCCTGCTGCTCAATCTCTCTCTCTCTGACAAGTGAATAAATCTTAAAAAAAAAAAAAAAAATAGAATAGTGTAAAAAGTTTGTTAAGAGAAGGAAGAAAGTTAGAGCATCCACTTTGGTGGATGATGAGACAAACGGAAAATTGTTTTAAGTTGAGGGAACCTACTGGCTGGGATGGGATGCTGAAGAAGAGAGAGGAAAGATCCTGAAGGAAGAGAGGATGAGTTGTGGCTGAAGGTCCTAGGAACATGAAGGGGAAGGGATACAGAACTCAGGTGGACAGCTCTGCTTTGGGTGAGAAGGGAAAGACAAAGAGGTGGATCTTCACAAATTGTAATCGAGATGCGAGGCAAGTTCAGGTTCTCATCTGCTGGGCTTTCTCCTCTGTGAAGAGTAGGTAAGCTCATCTGCTGTCAGGCAGTGAGGCTCCTGGGAAGTGACAGAACTCTTTCTTTTTTTAAGATTTTATTTATTTGAGAGAGAGAGCGAGCACGCATGTGAGCAGGGGGAGGGGCAGAGGGAGAAGCAGATTCCCTGCTGAGCAGGGAGCCCAACTCGGGGCTTGATCCCGGGATCCTGGGATCATGACTTGAGCTGAAGTCAGACACAACTCACGGAACCACCCAGGCGCCCTGTGAAAGAAGTTTCACAAACTCATTGTGTGAGTTTAAGAAAGAGTCTTATAGGGAATGCATGAGGGACTGCCAGTGGCAAGCCTCAGATTCTTCTGGAGAAGTTGCCTTATGGGGATTCCCTGTCTTCTGAGGGTCAGGCTCTCAACACCAGCTTCTTTCCTCTGGCCTGCCCCAAACCCCATGTCCCTCCCCTGAACTGGTCTCTGGGAGGTTCTCATTCATTCCCTCATTCATTTTCCAAGTGCGTGCTGAACATCCACACCACCCAGCCCCACTTCTCTGGGCAACATACTGATCCTCTTCTCATAGAGCTTCCAAACCTTCCCCACACTTTTAGACACCCCTATCCTTTCCCTCCCATACCCAGCAGAGGACCTCACTGCCTACTTTACAGAGAACACAGAAACCATCCGACTCATCTGCCAATTACCAAACATACAATTTTACCTACAGCTGCACTCTCTCCTGCTGATACGGCATTTTTAAACTGCAGTTTAATTTAAGGGGGCTTGATCAGTATTTCTGAAATGCAGTAAGCAGAACAGAAAATAGTATCTAGTGAACATTGTAAGAGTATTTTCTGTTTCTTATATGGCCCAGTTAGCCCTCCCCAAGGAGGAAGGGGACTCAGTCTGTCTTCATTCACCTTGGCAGCCTGAGGGCATCTGTGGGCTCGGTGGGGGAGCACAGCAAGTGCTTCATAAACTGATGCTAGATTCATAAACGGCATCGGGTGTACAATGATGAAAATCGTTCCAGAAAGCTGAAGGGGGTTGAAGGGGAGGAGAGTGGAGGGCAGAGGTGGAAGGAAGGGGTTGCTCCTGTCCTGCTTCCCAGACAGACCTGGAGCCTTTCAAGGACAGCACAGCCTTCTTGCTGTCCTCTTTCCGGGTCAGAAAAGTCAGCAACTAAGTTGGAAAATTTGCCCAACGTTAGATACTTGGCATGTAGAGCTCTTTAATGAGTGCTTTATACCCACGATATAGTCAGTGTTTGCTGAAAGATGCCACCTCCTTTTTGGAACAGAGAAAACAGGGTCTGGACGTCTTTATTTGCCTGGTATCTCCCATCCACACAGGGTCGCCGAAAAACTCCACAGGACGGCAAGAGGCCTTATTCCTGGCTGTCCAGCCATAACCAAAGACTGTTTTCTGTGCTGAAATTCAGCTTTCATTTCCTGTGGCATACTAATACATGAACATTCACTTATGACATTAAAAGATCAAATGAGGGGCGCCTGGGTGGGTCAGTCGTTAAGCGTCTGCCTTCGGTCATGATCCCAGGGTTCTGGGATCGAGTCCTGCATCGGGCTCCTTGCTCAGCAGGAGACCTGCTTCTCCCTCTCCCACTCCCCCTCCTTGTGTTCCCTCTACTCGCTGTCTCTCTCTCTCTGTCAAATAAAACAAACAAACAAAAAGATCAAATGAATACAACAAATACTTAACGTCCAATACAGTATGGAGATGCAACCAGCAAAATCCAGACTGTGGGAAACTCTACTGAACAAATGATCAGGTTTTTCCTACAAAATAATTGCTGGGGGGTGGGGGTGGGGTGGATTTAAAAGTGATTAAAGTGATTGAAGGAACAGATCTACTAGACACATTGTGGGGAACTTTTTTGGATTCTTAGTCAATAAATAACTTAAAAAGGGGGGAAATCATAGGATAATCAAAGAAATCTGAGTATAGACTGGAACTCTGATGATGATAATAAGGAAATATCACTACATTTTTGGAATGCTGTGATGGTATGTGGTCATGTTTTAAAAAGGCAGTCCTCATCCTTTTGAGATGTATTGAAATATGTATAGATTGTAGAATATGAAGTATGACAATGTGTGGGATTTGCTGTAAAATAATCAGGGTGATGGGATGTGTAAGTGGCCAGAGTTTTGGAAGAAACCAGACAGTCAGTTGGTAACTGTCGAAGGCTGGGTGATGAGTACCCATCCCTTCACTGTCCCCTTTACTATGTTTGAAATGTTCAAGATGTTAAAAAGTCAGTCTCACAAACAGAACCATAAACCATAAATGTTAGTTAAATAATTTTTAAAGTCTGGAACACCTTAGGATTCTTTCAAGATGTCTAAAAGAGAGCAGCAGTCCTTGATTCACAAGCTCTTTGAAAGTAGGATTCGGAGCTCTGGCACGGCTTGCCTTTTGCCACATGTCACACTGTTGCCATGAATCACCCTCTCTCCTTGCATTGGAACAGGCTCTTCCCTCCCAGGAGCTGGGATCCCTTTCAAGGATGCACACTGAATTGACTGCCCTCAAATGTCAGAAAAAAGACCCAACTAGAGTCTGGCACTGCTAGAGGTTTTCCACCCTCCTATTGCTTTTGAACACAGAAATGTAGCTTCACCTTCTTATCGTGACCACCTAACCTTGGCTTGCAGCTGTGCTGGCGGCTGTAGAGAACCGTCAAGCCCATGCTTCATGAAGACCGCATCACTGACCCCTGCCCATTCCCACTCAGACTCCACACCAGTCTCTGAAACTGCCTTCAACACACAGGGTCAACAGGCTGACTTCTCCGTGTTTGTCCTTTACCTCTTTTTTTTTTCTCATAAAAGTTTGAACTACCCAACTTAAAATATTCAAAACTTCCAAAGTCTACTGGCCTCTATGCCAAAGCCTGTTTTGGGGCAGAAATGAAGTTCTTGGGAAGGTTTAACGACGTTCAATTCCACTTCTAGTAACAGACACTAACAACCACCCATAGATTCACTATGGCTAATACACAAATGTTGCCTCACGCACCTGCAGCTCCAGTAAACCTTGTTTGGCTACAAACTTTCTTAATTTGAGTGGGACAGTTTCAATTGCTGAAAAACTTAAGGAAGGCAGGTCAAATTTTCGTTTTTTGTTGTTTCCCTAGCAAAATAAATCTTCTTTAAACCTTCCTTGGTTAAATCTTTATAAAATAAAGCAGCTATTGCATTCCCCCGTATGACTCAGACAAGATAACCAGCTATACTTAATTCACCAGCCTCAGAACCAAACCTCACAAAAAGCACAAAGCCTCATCCAGCTTGCACATGAAACAAAGCAAACCAAAACCAAGAACATATACTACAAGCACAAGCACAGAAAATCTTCAGCACCCAACCCAGTTCCCGGTTCCCATCCACTGCACACACATAACACACGGGACCCCCCTCCCCCCGCCCCGCGCGCAATTTGCCGAGCGCTGTGATCTGTGCTCGCTCGCTTTCAGTGGAGAAATACAGGAATTTATGTGTTGTGTTTTGTTGTTTTAAATGGGAAGGGAAGGAGGAGAGTGGGGCGTGAAAAACTGGAAATGAGTCCTAATTCTCTCGTTTCCTCCCATCTTTCTCTGCACCAAGATGCAGATGTATCAGTGAAATTTCAAGTGACAGTTTCTTGGCCAAATACCCCAATTAGAAACGGTGGAGGCTGGGAACACGGTGGAGAGCAAAACCGAAGCCTGGCAGGGCGGGCGGGGTCAGAGACGCGCCCCGCGCTCGGCGGCCTGCACGGAGCACGCGAGGTGGCCGCGCGCCCGCAGCCGGCGGCGTCTCGCCTCTGAGCGGCCGGTTGCCCGGCGTTTTGCTCGTGACTGCGCCGACTTGGCTGCCCACTCACACCTCCGGCTGCTCCGGACTTTCGGCTAGGCTCATTCACTTCCGGTGACAAATCCCTCCCACCACCTCTAGAAATAATGTTAACATTGCCCCCAAGGCTTTCCTAAAGACCGACGGCCGCACGAGGAGCCGCAGAGCCCGGGGCTGGGGTCTCACCCAAGCAGCTGCGGAGGGAGTGACCGCGAAGGGCGGGGGGGGGGAGACGTGGGAGGAAGAGGAAGGGGGTGTTGAATCGCACCTTCCCCCGCCCCCACCCCTCCGACTGCAGCAATTGGCCAAAAAAATAGTAATCCGTTTTTAGACAGCCCCTGGGCCCCCGGAACCCGGTTGCAGTTGAGAAACCCAGTCTCTCCCATCCCGGTGCCCCTCGCCTACTCCCGCCCCCGTAAGTGCCTGCGGGAATCGAGGAGAGCCCAGGCCACGCCGAACCGCAGCGGCTGAGAGGGGAAGGCGGGTAGAACGAGGGTTTGGGGGCGGCAGGGATGGGTTGGGGGAGGGGGTGGTGGAAGGGAAAAGAAAAAACCAGAGGCATGCAAGCGGCTCCCTAGCCAGCTGTTCCAGCTGCCGCTTCCTCCAGCGCGGGCCGGGCGGTGCAATATTCCCCCCCCCCGTCCATCTTTCTCACCACTACCTGTCCCCCCCACCCACCATACGCACACATTCCCCCCACCAGTAGCGGATCTCCGGCCTGTAAGGGGGTAGTAGGGAGGAGCTGGGGGGAGGGGGAGGCCTGCGAGTTTCTAACCTTGTTCTTATAAACAAACCCACATGTGCAGCTGCCGCTGCTGCAACTCACCCCACAATCCCGGATATAAGTCCTGCCCCTTTAAGAGGAAAAAAAGCTTCCCCCTCCTGTCTCCCACCCCACCCACCCACAAGGACCTTTGTCTCCCCACCCCCCTTGTCACTCGGCCCCGCCTCATGTCCCCGCCCTCTCCGACGCGGAGGAACCAATGGGCAAAGAAAATAAGGCCGGGGCTGACGTAAGCGTGTCCGGCCAATCAGAGGACGCGTTGGTGGGAGGCCTCACGGAGGGCGCGCCCGGAGGAAGCAAGGTAGGAGAAAGGAAGCTTGAAGTCAAGATGGAGAGTGCCAGTTGTTCCGCCGCCGCGGCAAACGGGGCCATGGGTTCGCAGCGGGACCGGAGCCTGGTGCCTGAACGGCTTCAGAGACGAGAACAAGAGCGGCAGCTGGAGGTGGAAAGGCGGAAGCAGAAGCGGCAGAACCAGGAGGTGGAGGAGGAGAAGAGCGACTTTTTCGCCGCCGCCTTCGCTCGGGAGCGAGCGGCCGTAGAAGAGCTTCTGGAGAGCGGGGAATCCACGGAGCAGCTGGAGGAGGCGGCCGCTCGGCTCCAGGGCCTGCAGAAACTTCTCAACGACTCGGTGTTGTTCCTGGCCGCCTACGACCTGCGGCAGGGACAAGAGGCGCTGGCGCGGCTGCAGGCGACCCTGGCCGAGCGGCGCCAGGAGCTGCAGCCCAAGAAGCGTTTCGCTTTCAAGACCCGGAGGAAGGACGCCGGTTCGGCCACCAAAGTCGACGCAGCTCCTGGCACCCCGGCCGCAGAAGGCATCCTGGCCTCCCCGCCGCCACTGAATGAGGGAGGCATCGGCTCCAGCTTTGTCTTCGGCTTCTCCAATGTGGAGTCCCAAGTCTTGGAGAAGCGGGCGGAGGAACTGCACCAGCGCGACGTCCTTTTGACCGACCTGAGCAAATGCATCATCAAACTGTACGGCAATCCCAACACCCTGCGGCTGGCCAGAGCCCGAAGTTGCACGTTGGTCTGCGGCCCGGTGTCCACTTCTGTGTTCCTGGAGGACTGCAGTGATTGCGTGCTGGCCGTGGCCTGCCAACAGCTCCGCGTACACACTACGAGAGACACCCGCATCTTCTTGCAGGTGACCAGCAGGGCCATCGTGGAGGACTGCAGCGGGATCCAGTTCGCCCCTTATACCTGGAGCTACCCGGGCATCGACAAGGACTTCGAGGGCTCTGGTTTAGATAGAAGCAAAAATAACTGGAACAACGTCGACGATTTCAACTGGCTGGCCCGGGATATGGCTTCCCCAAACTGGAGTATTCTTCCTGAAGAAGAGCGAGTGATCCAGTGGGACTAAGCAGTTGTCACTGTGTTCTTCGCTCCTACCAAATACTTCCCATGTGGGACCTACTCCTGCTAATGGGACCTCGGCGTTTACTTAATTGTTTTCATACTTTGTATGTTTTCAGTATTTTAAGGCTTGAGATTGTAATAGGCTCCTACTTGTGATTCCCATTAAATTCACGACAGGTCTAACACTTTGAAGCCTTTTTCTATTCTGGTAACGTGTAGTAGCTTTGATTTGACGATGATAGTTGGAAGCAGTAAGAGGAAAAGTGTGGGTGTGTGTTGGTTATTAGTGATTTGTGGTATTTAAAGCTTGATAACTGTAAATATTTAATAAGTGAATTTAGTAGTGCTCTAGTAGGAGCCAGTTAATGTAAAGTATGGTATCAAACCTGTGCAAAATACTAGTAATTGAGAGCTCTTGAATTGAAGGTTTGACTTCCATAGGTACTACTCAGCAGGGCGGTGGAAAGACTCTGGTCTTCAGGTACACATTAGCTTGGACTTCTGGAATCCAGCTACTCATCGACTTGTTTGGATCCAAAGTTTTGGCACCAACCCCAGGAGGCTCATAAGTCTTACCAACTGTAAAGTCAAAATAATTATAGTTACCAGCTTTTTTTGTGCCCTTAAAAGGTCATAGACACTGTTCTGAACACCTGACTCATGTAAACATGACTAAGTCCAAAAAATCTTAGGAGGTAGGTTCTGTTAGCACCATTCTTCCTGTGAGGTAGGTGAGTCGCCTGAGTCACACAGCTCAAGTGGACTGGGATTTGAAACCAGGTAGTCTGGCTCCAGAGCCCACTATGTCACATAGTGATTTTGAATAGTGTTAGTTGAGTTAGAGAGCTTCCAAAGTCATTGAAGAGGGCAAATTGCTCTTCCTAAATTCCCAGGAATAAATATGCTACATATCCTCACAAAAACATCTAGCTGAATCTTCATTTTTTCCACTCATTTTGCTATAATTTTCCACTATTACAAATTTGGCGTTCCACTCAATGTTATCACCCATTATTCTTAAATGGAAAGTTCTAAGAGTTGCAAAAAGCTTTTTTGGGTCTAGTGGCCTTGTAACTGCAGACATGATTTTTAATAATGACCATAAGTATTAAAGTGCTTGTAGTACCTTAAGTATTTCTGTGTTCTATCTTGTTCCAAAAAAGAACTTAAGGTGGCTTTTAGGATATGTGAACAAGCGTAGAGTCACCCAGGCATAATTGAAGCCAGTAAAAAATGTGGGCTGCCAAGCTCTATTCCTTAGCTGGAGGTGAATCTGGAATTTTTTTCCCTCAACTATTGGCTGACTTGAAGCAATCCTAATCATTTCACAATTTGCAACATCTACAAAGAAAAGGGGTAAAAAATGTATTGCTTAGGAGAATGAATTCTGGTAATAAAAAGAGACAACCTGGGGGCGCCTGGGTGGCTCAGTCGTTAAGCGTCTGCCTTCGGCTCAGGTCATGATCCCAGGGTCCTGGGATAGAGCCCCATATCGGGCTCCCTGCTCGGCGGGAGGCCTGCTTCCTCTCTCACTCCCCCTGCTTGTGTTCCCTCTCTCGCTGTGTCTCTCTCTGTCAAATAAATAAATAAAATCTTAAAAAAAAAAAAAAAAAAAAGAGACAACCTGGAATGAAATTCTCAACGTAAGAAACTAGGACTGGTATTGTAAGGCTATTCTCCTAAAGACTGATAGTTTAACACCAAGGAAAAACACTTCAGGAAAAAACCACGCTTACGGCACTGATGGGCTTGCAATTCCTATTTGTGGACTGAACTTTCACAGGACAGTTAAGTAGTTGCATCCAAAAGAATCCCTGCAGTTTGTAATAGATAAAACCACAAAATCATGGCAGTTTGAACCATTGTTGATGATTGCTAATCTCAGCCGAGCTTTCCTCTATCTTCTTGAAGTTCTCTCTTTTCCACCGTAGCCTTGCTCTACCCTGTTTCTCTTATGACAGCTTTTTCCCTTTCATTATGATTCCAGTGATTCACAGCCCTTAAATGTGAGTGATGCCCAAGGCTTTGCCTTTAGCTTCTTTGTATGCATGTTCTCCAGAGCTGCAACTCTGAACCTATGTGTACAGTTCTGTATCAGTGGGCTCACTTGCCTGTCAAATTCATACACTCTTAAAATCTCCATTTTCACTTCGTTCCCTCCCAAGTTCTTTATTTCTTTCAAAGCTGTCACTCTTCTCCAGGCATGACGAGGGCCAAGCAGGTAAAGTCAGTTAGGCTGTTGGGAGAAAGTCACTAGGGAGTGGGGGACCAGGTGACTTGGCAGACAGATTTAAGCATTTTAAAAACATTGTACAAGCCAAACAAAACATTTTTTTTTGCGGTCTGCATCTGGTCCCTGAGCTGGCCAATTTGTAACATCAGACTTCCAAATCATGTCAGTTCTGTCCTCAGCAGATTTTGCCTATTCATCCTGTCCTCTCAAGTCTTTCTGCCATTTCAGAAAGTTAGACATTATTATGTTTTCCCTAGACGTAAACTGTGATGGGTTTTTTTTGACAAAAAAAAAATCACACCCCTGAATTAAAAGCATTGATGGGGGGTGGGGAGGGTGCCTGGCTGGCTCAGCTAGTAAAACATGCGACTCTTGACTATTGATCTCAGGTTGTGAGTTTAAGCCCCATGCTGGGCATAGAGATAACTTAAAAAAAAAAGTATTGATTAGAGTTATTTTAGTAAGTTTTTATTAAGCAAATTTAATAATAATGGTCATTACAATGCTAGCATAGTGTACCAATAAATTTAATAACCATATGTTTTCATAAAAAATAAGCACTGAGGGCGCCTGGGTGGCTCAGTCGGTTAAGCGTCTGCCTTCAGCTCGGGTCATGATCCCGGGGTCCTGGGATAGAGTCCCACATCAGGCTCGCTCCTCGGCAGGGGGGCCTGCTTCTCCCTCTCCCGCTCCCCCCTGCTCGTGCTTTCTCTCTCTGTCAAATAAATAAATCTTTAAAAAAATAAATAAATAAACACTGAGGGGCGCCTGGGTGGCTCAGTGGGCTAAGCCCAGACTCTTGATTTCGGCTTAGGTCATGATCTCAGGGTGTTGGGGTGGAACTACACGTTGGGCTCCACACTCAGTGGGGAGTCTGCTTGAGATTCTCTCCCTCTGTTCTGCCCCCCACTCTCTCTAAATCTTTTTAAAATCTTTTTTTTTTTTTTTAAGATTTTATTTGACAGAGACACAGAGAGAGAGGAAACACAAGCAGGGGGAGTAGGAGAGGGAGAAGCAGGCTTCCCTCTGAGCAGAGAGCCCGATGTGGGGCTCTATCCCAGGACCCTGGGATCATGACCTGAGCCGAAGGCAGACGCTTAACGACTGAGCCACCCAGGTGCCCTCTTTTTAAAATCTTTTAGGGGCGCCTGGGTGGCTCAGTTGGTTAAGCGACTGCCTTCGGCTCAGGTCATGATCCTGGAGTCCCGGGATCGAGTCCCGCATTGGGCTCCCTGCTCAGCGGGGAGTCTGCTTCTCCCTCTGACCCTCCTCCCTCTCGTGCTCTCTGTCTCTCATAAATAAATAAAATCTTTTAAAAAATCGTCTAGGGAAGCATAAAATTGCACATTACTCAAGCAGTCAGTTTATTAAACTTCATTTATGATTGGCTATGTTAGACATAATTCAGTACGGTATTACATAATTGTATCACTCCAGAGTCTCAACCCCATAAGAATAAGAGAAATGGCCAATTTACATAGAAGTTCTGATTGCAATGCAAGAGTTATTGCCAAGAAAAGTTGTAATTGTATTAACTAGGAAATGAACTAAAGCAGCAAGATGTGAAGATTCAACTTTCTGTGGGTAATGTTACAAGGTAATAACAGTGTTTTAGAAAACATAATGCAATTACTCTAGTATCACAGAAATTAGATGACTAAATTGCATTTAATTTAAAAGTCTCATCACCAAATCGAAAACTCAGTCACACTACTTGACTTTTTTTTTTCTCTTATGAAGAAAATAAGTTGGCCATTGCAATTAACATGAAGGGAGATGAAGGGTCAATTATTTACCCAGCTTAACTTTCAGGAAGGGCAGGGGCAATATGTCGCGGAAAGCCATGTTCAATTCAACTGAGCAGGTGTTTGAGCATCTACTGTGCACCTGTTCAGTGCTGGGCACTAAGAATGCAATGACAAACAAGCATGTGGTCTTCCTTTATGGAGGGTACAGTGTAGATGAAGATGAATGAAAGAACAATCCCGATAGAGAAACTCTGAGAGCTCTGAAAGGGCGGTGCCTTATAATCTCTCCAGTTTAGAAAAGACGTTAAGTAAGCCATCTGTATCAACCTATCCAAGGGGTATTCCCTGATTGACAGCTCTGCCCACTACCTACTTGGATTAGCAACATTCACAGAAGGATGCAGTTACTATTCAAAGACCTGCCTTCCAATTTTTCAGATACTGTAATTAGTCTGAATTTTAAGAACTGACAAGTCCAGGCAAGACAGTTCAAGGCCATTTACTTACGTGGTAAACAAGCTCAACATTCTGCTCAGGAATTCAAATGCTTTATTATGCAGTTTTGTTTTGTTTTTTGTTTTTAGTTGACTACATTTCAGTTGTGTTATTTCACCAAGAAAGCTATACATAGTCGGATTTTTAGCCCTAATATCAAGGTAGAGGTTTGGGTCTAAGATGGCAGTGCCGTAGATTTTTTAAACATAGATAATTTATGCACAGATACAAAAAGATTAGAATAAAAAGTAAATCTCCTCCCTTCCTTTGATCCCAGCCATTCAGTTCTCTTCAGAGAGCAACCATCCTATACCTGTTTCCTTTATTCTTCTGGTTTTTGCATTTACAAACTTAAGTGCAAAATATCCTTTTATCCTCCCACCCAAATAGAAGCATATTATGTAAACTATTAGGCACCTTACCTTTGTCATTAACATTATACTTGGAGATCTTTCCATGGGAGTACATATAGTCATTTCATTCTTTTTTTTTTTTTTTAAGATTTTATTTCTTTATTCATGAGAGACGGAGAGGCAGAGGGAGAAGCAAGCTCCCAAGGAGCAGGGAGCCCGATGCGGGGCTCGATCCCAAGACCCTGGGATCATGACCTGAGCCGAAGGCAGACGCTTAACCATCTGAGCCACCCAGGCGCCCCATTTCATTCTTTTTAACTGTGGCACAGCAGTCCATGCCATGGGCTGTGCTATACTTGTTTACCAGTCTCTAATGGATGGACATTTAAGTTGTTCCAATATTGAGCCACTAGAACGATGCTACAATGGATAGATAGCCTTACACATAAATTATCTAGCATGTGTGCAATATTATCTGTAGGTTAAGTACCTAGATGAGGAATTGCTGCATCAGTAGCTTATGCTCATTTACAATATTGATACATATTATCAGATTGCCTTCCAAAGAGGTTCATCAAATTATGCCCTCACTAGCGGTGTCTGAGGGCACTATTCCTCCACATCCTTATCAATGGGCGGTGCTATCAAATCTTTGGTGCTTTGCCAGTCGGATAATTACAAAGTGTTCCCTTCCTGTAATAGCAGTTGTGATCGTCTCCTCACTTCTCTCCCCATGTCTGGTGGCTAAACCCTCCTACACGCAGCTGCCAAATTAGTTTTCTTAAAGCGTGGCACTCCTGGTCTAAAACCCTCTGAGGTTCCCACTCCCTGGCCTGGAAGACAAGCCCCTTCAGCATCTGCTCTCAGCCTACTGTTCCTGCGTGATGTTTTGCTGTTTCATCTCACACACTTCATGCCCCAACTAGTCTGAACTAATATCCATTCATCAAACACACTGTATCAGTCAGGGACCTGGCACACTCAAAATGGATAATTTGAGAAGAGCTTCATACAGGAGCTCTTTCAAAGCTGTGGGTAGAGTTAGGAAGAGCAGTAAGAGATGGTGCGATACCTGTTAGCACTCCTAGGGCCGAAGGGACAAAACTATTCCCCGAACCCAGAGAGAGAGAATGCTACCTGACAGGAGCTGTGGCCTTTGGTGGAGGGATGGCGCCACAGCGGGAATGAAAAACTGCCACTCTCTTCTGCTGGTGCTTTCCATTGGCTGAGCCCAACAGGAAACTGTAGGGCAAGGAAGTCTGTTGGTACAGTCCCTAATGGTCATCTCCCACGACGCAGCGC